TCGGCCTTCCGGTGTTGTTTCTGTTGGGGCCGCTCGGGCCCCCGCGTGCCAGCGGTGCGCTGTCGGAGGGGTTCCTGTTCGGCAGGCTTATTTGTCTCCTGGGAGGGCAGGCATGTTGATTTTTCTGGGCAGGAGCGTCTGGGTGGAGGGGTCCTCGCGGTGTGGCGGTGGGTGTTGGACACTGGCTTGTTTGTGGCCGTTCTTCTTCAGTGAGGGAGAAATTTTTTATTTTTTGTGTATGTGGAAGGGGGGTGTGAGCAGGGGAATCGGAGCTTGGAGTGGAGCTCGGGATTTGTGCTTTGCTGTGTTGTGTGGCTTTCTTCTTCTTCGGATTGGTGTTGTGGGACCGGTGTCGGGGGCGGAGTCGTTCGGGGGCCGGTGTCGGGGTGGGGGTGCTGGTGCCGGGGGTTTTTGGGCATTGCCCGGCCCTACTGCTGGGTGGGTTTGGGGTGGGTCCTGGGGTCTGGGAACCCTGGGGTGCGTTGCCCTTGGGCAGGGGCCCCGGTGGGGTTTTGGGGGTTCGGGTTCTGTGGGGAGTACTGCTTGGGGTCTGGGCCAGTGTACGTCCAGCTGTCTGCCCCTGCTGCCGGGGTGCCATGGGGCCTGTTGGGCTGGGAGGGGCATGGACTTTAACACCTATGGCAGATGCTTACCCCTTCACGGGTTTGCACTCTGTATGTGGGGGAAGGGGAGGGAGGGGGAGTAGGAATGATCGCGGCTTGTATTTCTTCTGTCGCTTGTGTGGTGAGTAGCTTGATTGTTATTATAGGGGAGGGTTAAGATCTCCGGAGGGGTGGGGGGTGGTGATAAGGGGAAGATCTTGGAAGGGCTTCGGGTCTGGCTCCCTGTCTCAGTCCTGGTCCGTGCTGCCCCCTGGTGGGGCTTCGTCCGGGGTGGGGGCTCTGCGTGTTGCGCGTGGGCTGGCCGGCTGGGGTTGCCCCCCCTTATTTATTTATTTATTTATTTATTTATTTTTATTATTATAATTTTTTTTCTTTATTCATTTCTTTCTTTATTTTTTGTATTATTTATTTTATTCATTTTAATTAATTAATTTATTTATTTTTATTTATTTATTTATAAATTTTTTGGATGGACAGGATGGGGGGAGGGTGGTGGTGTCGGCTCTATGCCCGGCTGGCTGGTGGGTCCTGCTGCCGGTCCCATGCCCCCGGGCTACGGTGGTGAAACTGGTGGGGCACCCCTCTCTGGAGGGGCTCTCAGGGAACTGGGGTGCCTATTGGAGTCAGCGGGGGAGCTGGCTCCCTGGGAGTGCAACAAGCACCCCAGTCTTTTGCTCCCTATCCCCGAAATCCTCCCTCTGCCTGCTCCATCACTTTGCCACACATGTAGGTTTTTGGGGAGGGGGTCATTACTGGAGGGCCACACCTGATGACGTCCCACACCACAATTTTATTTTGCATTTTAGACTCTTCCATCTACATCATTTTCACAACACACATCTCTGTAGGGCATTTTCGGGGTGGGGTGGGGGTCAGGGCCACCTGGGGGGGCTTATTTTATGGGTCTCCTCCATCCCCTCTCGCATCTAGACATTGAGGGTTAAGGGTTGTCCAAGGGGGGGTGTCCTGGCACCGTGTATCTCCTGGAGGGGAGGTGGACTGTGCCGGACACCCCCTCTTGGTACTCCCAGTTTTAATTACATCTGAGAGCAACACGCAACAACACCACATTTGAGCAGGCGCAGGGAGGATCGGGGTCTTCTCACACCCCTGTTCTCCGGCCGCTGCCCGGAGTCTGGGGCTTGGAGGAAGAGTGAGCCACCTGGTCCCTGGTTTTGGCTGGGGCTGGCTGCAGGGCCTAGGTGGCCTGCCGGTGGTGGGGCTGTCACCTCTGCTCTCCCCAAAGAAGGTTGGAAGGGGGGGCATGAAGTGCCTGGTTTAAGTGTTTTTTTTTTTTTTTT